CACACACACACACGCACAGACACAGACACACACACACACACACACACACACACACACACACACGCACACACGCACACACGCACAGACACACACACACACACACACCTTCAAAGAACCTGGGTTAGTGTAACTCGGGTGATAGGGTCCCACCTGCTGCCAGTGTTAAGAAGTGGCCACCATACCTCAGGACAGCAGGCGGGGCCACGTCTTGGGGGCCCCTGGTCATGGTGGCACACACTGCTCATCTCAGCTAAATAATCACCGAGTGTAGCCAGCCTGGGTCCCAGAGTTCCAGGTCGGAGGGGCAGAGCGACAGAACGACTCAATGAACCAGCAACTACCCGGGCCCAGAATCTCCGGGGGTCGGGGCGCAGCCACCCCGCCCCAGAATCTCCGGGGGTCGGGGCGCAGCTACCCCGCCCCAGAATCTCCGGGGGTCGGGGGCGCAGCCACCCCGCCCCAGAATCTCCGGGGGTCGGGGCGCAGCCACCCCGCCCGCCCAGCAGGCAGCCGCCCCCGCAGCCTCCGGCCGCAGCGTCCTCCCTTACAAACACCTGTAGGAGTTTTCCCGGCTGCTCCCTGCGGCGGCCGCTGGGCAGAGGTGAGCCCGGTGCCCTGCGGGCCTGGCGGACCTGACTCCGCCAAGTGGCCCGGCCCGAGTCTCAGGAAATAAGTACTTAGCTTCCGGGGGTGTTGGCGACAGCAGGAGCCGGGCCCGGAGTCCCCGGGTCATCCCGGGGCCAGGCTGACGCAGGCCCTCCACCTGCTCCACGCCGGGCTGCAGGCCCCCACGGCGCAGGGTTCCGGGTGGACCCTGTGTCACCGGACTTTCCCCGGCCGTGAACCCGCCTTTGTCCCCGCAGTCACGGGGGTAGGGGCTGCAGCGCCCAGGGGTCCGCTCTGCACCCCGGCCCCACGCGCCGCGCACTCCCGGCCGCAGGACCCCGGACTTCCCAGGTCACCAGGGCCGGACGGTGCTGCCGCGGGCGGGCGGCGACGACTGCAAAGTTGCGGCCACCGCGAGCACCTGCCCCGCCGCCCCCGGCCCGGCCTCACCTACCGGTCACCACCACCGCCTTCCGCGGCTGCTCCATGGCGGGACGCGCTCACTAGGACCGCGGCGGCGGAGACTGGAGCGGACACCGACCCGACAGCGAGCCCCGCCCGGCCCCGGCCCCGCCCCGGCCCCGGCCCCGCCCCCGAGCCGCGGTGCGAGCCGCTGTGCGCGCCCCCGCGCCGGCCCGCGGTTCCGCCGAGCGCCGCCACGTCCTTGACCAAGCGCCCGGCCAAGCCATTTTCCAGGCCACGCCCCTTAGAAGCCGCACCCCTACGTAACCCCGCCCCCGAGCCTTCCAAAGCCCCACCTCCAAGGCCTGCCTGGTACAGGGGGACGCTCCTAGACACGCCCCCGAGTCCCGCCACGCCCCCGAGCCCCGCCCGCCACGCCTACCGCCACGCCCCCGAGCCCCGCCACGCCCACCGCCCACCGCCCACCGCCACGCCCCCGAGCCCGGAGCCCTACGAAGCCTCTCTCAGACCCCCTATGGCTCCAGACGCCTCAGACTCACAGGCCACGCCCATCCTGGAGCCACAGGCTCCGGTCGCGTACCCTCATGTTCCCCCAGTGCACGCCCGCCCTGAGCCACGGATTCCCTTGTTCTCCCCCCTCCCGCCCCTCTCACCTCCCCCCAGTCCACCCCCATTCCCACCTCCTCCAGGGCAAGGTCTCCCCCGAGGACTGCGATCAACCTGGTAGACTCAGTCCAGGCAGGTCCAGTCCCCTCCTCCCAGACTAAGCCAAGCGTCCCTGCATAAGTCCCAGGCTTCAAACAGCCAACTCATGCAATGAGCCCAGGACTTGGTCCCACTGCCTAGATGCCTCCCAAACTGATCAAGCCAATCAACCGTCTCACCTATTCAGAGGGCCTGATCCAGGTGGGGGCCCCTCAGCCTTTGGTTCATAGTTCATGTGTTTCCATTCATTTGGCTATTTGTCCCTGTGCGTTATCCAACCTTGGTTTCAACAATTCTCGCTCATATAAACCCTCCTCTTTCTCGCTAATTAGACTCCCGGCGCTCCACCCGGGGCCTGACCATGGATCTCTGCATCCAGAATCCTCAGTCCTTGGATGGGGTTTCTAGCAGGGCAATTTGGGTGTTTGGCCATCCCATCACCACAAGATACCCCCACAACAGAGGCCGGCAATGGTCAAGAGACAGCCGGAACTGACCTGCTCTGGTGATGGGATGGAATTCCGTCTCCTAAATCTTTTTCCTCTGCCGCTTTGACTGTGGTGCCGGGACCTCCTGTTCCACCCGCGGGATTAGGTGTGTGGCCCCAGCCCTGCCCCACCGGCTGCCTAGCCCCCTCCCGTGGCAGCCCACGAACTACCCACACAAGTGTCTGGTCACCTGACTGCATTTCCGCCCCACCGCCACCCTACAGGCCGAGCCCCTCCGGCCGTCACCTTCTTGCTGCCCTGTGACCTGCTGCTCCGCCGCCCCTTGGGGCCCCACCTCTCCCCCTGGAGTCCGCCTTTCCTCTGCTGCCCCGGGGCCTGAGAGATGGCCACGTCAACTTCTTTCTGCCTGACTTTTAAACGCTTCAATTTATCTGTTTCTTATCTGCTCAATTTATTTTGGGACAAAAAAAGAAAAAGAAAAAAGAAAAAAAGGAACACCCCCCCCAAAAAAAACCCCATATGAACATATGGTCAGGCGCCTAAATTGATAGGGGCAACCACGAGATCAGGCAGTGCCATCTTAAATAAGGGCAACCACAGGATTGGCAAGCCACCATTTTGGCTAAGGTCAAAACAGACAGGTCATATGACCTCACTGCCATCTCTACTAGAGGCAGCATGGGCGGGGTGGAGGTTCAGTTGCGGCCTGGTCCCCTTCCTTAGCGGCTGCACGGGTAGGTGGGGACAGCACGTTCCCGTGCCGGGACAGGGTAGCAGCAGATGCTTAAGATCTCAGATCTTAACGTTAATATAGTTCTGATACTGTTTGGGTCACGAGCTCAGGATTTTTAACCTATAGGTGTGAGTCTGCTGCTGCTCTCCAGATGCCTGTTCCCGAGGAGGGCGTTTTCTCTCCTGGTCTCCAGTTACCAAAGCTACAGCTTGAAGCTCCAAATAAATTCATAAGTTTTAACTCCCGTCTCTAGCCTGCGTCTGTTCCAGTGGACTTGCATCTGGCGGGCTGACACATCCAGGCACTGTCTCCTGACTGCAGTCTGTGAGACATGGACCTGCTGAGGGCTTATGGTGGACCAGTCTGGCCAAATGTAATTATTTTCTTCCTCTACAACAAATTCCTCTATGATAAACACCCCATTGCCTTGGTCCTGGACACCTGCTCCCCAGCTCAGCCTGAAGCAGCTGTGGAGACCACGTCGTCCTGTGCTCTCTGTTCCCAGGACAGGCTGGAGGGCTAGGTAGGAGTAAAAACCATGAGAACAGCAAACAATGCTCTTCACTCCCGCCTCCCGCCACGCGTGACTCCCGGCTGCCCCACCCCTGCCAGCTTGAAGTAGCCTGGAGAATTCAGCGTCTTGTTCTTCCACTTGCTTCCATAACTCACGTCCTTTTATCATCATCAAAACAGAGAAATGCTAATATTCTGATCCCGCCCCTTGGGGCTGCCCTGCGTCCTGACTAGCAGGGGATAGAGAAAAGAGAAAACTGAGAATCAGCAGCAGAGAGAGAGAGAGAGAGAGAGAGAGAGAGAGAGAGAGAGAGAGAGAGACAGAGAGACAGAGACAGAGAGAGACAGAGCAGACGAGCACAGCAGAACTATCAGGGTTATTAGGAGAATAAGCAGCTGGGGCGGGAAGCGGGTGAGCTGGACAGTCGCCATGTGTCCCTACAGCCAGCCACAGGGAAATGACTCCTGTTCGTAGAGGGGACCCAGCTTCACAAGTTCCCAAGGAATGCTGGCTTTTCTCTAACTCCAGTCCAGGTTGAGGGAGACCAAAGGCCAACCATAGGCCACCCCAGAGCCAGGGTCATAGCCCTGGGGTACTCAGAGGGCCTCCAACCGTCTGTGGAGCACAACTCCCCAAGGGGCAGGTATGGGGAGACACCTCAGTGGGGACAGTGCCCCCACAAGTGTGAGGCCCCAGTTTGAATCCCCAGAACCTGCACACGTAGCCACGATGGCTGCGCACAGCTCTAACACCAGCACTTCGGGGGGAGACCCAAGGGTCCACGGGGCTCACTAGCCAGTCAGCCCAGACAACGGGAGTGCTCTGGGCTCAGAGGGAGCCTCCGCCTCAAAAACTGGTGTGGGCATCAATAGAGGAAGGCCCTATGTGACCTCTTGCCTCCATGTGCACACACAAAGTCACCCTGCCAGGATGAGCACAAAGAGGGCCCAAGGAGGCCCAGGGGACCTGAGGGTCTCTAGGCAGTTTGCGCGGCTGGAGGGAAAGGCATTATCTATCCCCAGTGGCCCAGCCCCGGGGACAGCTGCCATGTTCCTGTGAAGACCCCAATTAAACTCAGCGGGTCACACAGAATGAGCAAATGGAGAAAAGGAAGGAGGGGAGGCGGGAGGGAGGAGGGAGGAGGGAGGTGGGAGGGGAGCCTGTCGGCCTAGATGCAGGGCCGGGGCTGGGCACACTCCAGTGGGGAGGGAAGCTCTTCCCCAGAATCTCGCCGTGTGCCGAGGCCCTCATCTTCAATAAGCCAAAGAGAAGAAAAAGGCCGGGCTGCGGCTCGGAGCCCAGACACAGGAGACCTCGTCTCAAAGCAGCAACAATGAAGCGGACTTGTACCTGTTATATCTGATTTGGAAAAGCAGACCATGAGTGTGGGAGTGAGAATGTGACCTACGCTGGCCCGTGACACGCTGTCCCCATCGTCCGCGAAGGTGCTCTCAGGACTCACTACCGTGGCCTGTGGCGTGGCTTGGTGACCCAGAGCCCCCTCTGCTGGCCTGGCATGCTGCCTGTATGCCACTTTCTTGGGACACTCTGGAAGCTGGGACCGCACAGAAGCATCAGGTGAGGATTTCTGGGAGTTCCAGACACCTGCATCTCGTAGGGAGGGACGGAGCCCCATGTCCTCCTGGTCAAAGTCCCCCGAAGCCAGCAACTGTCTTGTCTCCTGGGCAGGCCACCTGGGCCACCTGAGCCTTTGCGTGCTGTGCTAAAACCTGTCCTTTGTGCCTAGGACAGCACATTCCTGGGGCGGGGCCCAAAGGGCACTGGGCAGGGGGTGGAACAGGTTCCATGCTAGGGCTCATGTGTTTTCTTATTTTGTTCTTGTTGTTTAGTTTTTACTGAGACAGGATCTCATGTAGCCCAGGCTAGCCTCAAACTCATTCTGTAGCTAAGGATGCCCTTGAACTTACCTCCGTGAATCTGAGATGACAGGTGTGCATCACCATGCCCAGGGCCTGGTGCAGGGTCAGGATAACCCGCGTGTCAGGTCACCCCTTCCGCCGCATCAGGGTAGCATGTTTCTGGATGAGTTGTGAGCTTCTGGCAGGTTCAGCTCTCTCCACCTTCCATCTCAGCACACAAGTGCTGGGATGACAGATGTGTGCTTCTGTATCCAGCTTTCACATGTGCCTGGGACTGAACTCAGGTCTTCTGACCCTTGCAGTAATCACTTTTGCCTCTCCCTGCCTCTTGGCTCCGCCCATGACCTTGAGCTATAGGGCCCGGAGGAGGCGGAGCTTCTTGTCATTGTACCCGAACTCTTAAAAGGAAAGGGAGAGGGGTCATGGGCTCAAGTGGCCGCCTGCATACAGCGGCCATGCCGGGACCCTATAAGCCAGGCAGCTCTTGCCCAGGCCTGGCGGCTCACGCGGCAGCAGTTCTTGTAACCACTGCCAGAGGCACACGCATTCTGCGTGGATAGAACACCGGATAGAGCACCGTCAGAGAGAACGGTGCCATGCCAGGAGCTCTGTGCTTGCAGCGGCTGGACCGGGACGGACACGGGGACACACACACACGGGGACACACACACATACACACACACACACGGGGACACACACACACACACACACACACACGCACACACACACACGGATGGACACACACACGCACACACACACACGGACGGACGGACACACACACACACACACACACACGCGCGCGCGCGCGCGCGCACACACACACACACACGGGGACACACACACACACACACACACACA